TAAAGAAAAACGACTTATGCATATTTTTTAACACATACGTTTAATGTCTGTTTAACTATTTTTGATATCTATTTAGATCGTTCGATATCTCTACGATATAATTCTCAAAATGAGTTTCGAAAGAATGTAAAACATTTATCGATTCAATTATCGTACAATCATCGATGAATTTTTAAAGTTAACTTGTTATCGAAAATTTCGAAATATAGTTTGAAAATGCCTACTTTGATGCCCCATAACATTTGCTATGATTGACCGTTTCAAGCACCGTTAACGACGTGCAATACTATGCCACGAGTACTTCAAAACGATATTAAGAATATAATATTTCGATTTCGTTTGATATCTCGTAATGAGTTTGAAAATGAACACAAAAATATAAGTTACAAAAAAAAATTTCTAAATTTTGCCTCCATGCACGGAGGCTCCAACAATATTTTTTTTCCCCCTCCGTGCACGGAGAGATTACCTTTTTTTTTTTTGTTGTGTAGTTTTAGTTATAATTTTTTTTTTCAATTTATAATTCTCTTTAATTCTTTTCTTTTCAAAATTTTTTAATATGTTGTAAAAAAAATTTTTGTCGCATATTATCTCTATCTTTTTTTTTTTAATATAAAAGTGATATTTTTCTTATATTCGTACTATATATATCTATATTTGAGTGAGGAGGAATGGAAATTGCGTATTGCAGTAAATTTGAAAGTAGTGTATAATAAAATAAAATATATATCAAGCAAACGGCATCGTTTTTGGCCCCCAAATTGAAAAAACAAAAAACAAAAAAAAAAATGCTCCAATAAAGATGGATCAAGACACTGTTGCTTTCTACAGTACCCTCACATTCCCCTTTTTTATATAGTAGGAAAATAGACCAACTTATTCTACTCGTCGAGTAGATCGTAGTGGTATATTTGGAATCTCGAAACCAATTTCGAATGAATGAGAAATTGCAGACCAAAGTTGGAAGAAATGAAGTATTGCAACTTTTCGAAAGGATCCAAGTTTTGACTAAGTGTTGCAACTTTTTTAAATGATGCATGTTTTGGCCCACCCTATTTCATTTGCACTCTTTCTACATCTATAAATAGAACCTTATGGACATGATTTTGGATACACTAATTGCATTGAGCATTCATTCCCCTCTTGCAATTCTCTCATTTCTAATTCCATAGCATTTTCATGCATTTCCTTTGTAAATGGAAAATTCTGTCAAAAGTTCGTCGGTTTCTTGTGGTTTGAAGTGCTACTACAATAAGTTGTGAATCCATTATATCTTGAAAGACATGTGTCATTTACCGTGAGCACCATAGTGGGACAGTTTATCTTAAGAAAAGAGATAACGTCTGGCCTTGGATTATTCTCTATTTCTACTCGTTATTAATCCTTGTTTTGCGTAAACTGATGAAACAAATATATCAAAAACCAACATTTACATAGCCTTTTTTATAAGTAGTCTCCAACGAAAATTACCATAGCTTCTGAGAATTTATGCAATGACTGTTTTCGTAAAACAATTAAACGAAAATTGAATACCCACAAACTTCTCAGCACAAAAGTTGAAGAGTTCAATAACGAAAATTCAGTAATGTTATCACGAAAATAAGCAGATGATCCAGAATTTGAAAAACTGTTAGAAAGATGGGGTGAAAAAAATGGAGTGTACCTCGGCGAAACAAGCAGCGAAAGCACTGCTGGCAAAAGTTCCGGCAAACGAAATGTCCGATTTGAGCTTCCCGTGATCCGCCATTGTTAATTTGGAAAAAGTTGAATGAATAAGCCAAGTGAAAACGCAGCGAAACGATTCCGCGCTTCCATTGTCAGTCGTCTCCTTCACACATGCATATTTTTATGCCCACTCAAACTCAACGGCAGCCATCTTCTTCTGTTTTTCTTAATTTTCTTTTCCAGTTTTTAATTGTTTCATTGATTAGTATCAAAACGTGCTACCTTAATTATCATGCAAAATTGGATTATGTTGCTGATATTTTCAAGTGATTATCCTTTCTTCGCTGGAGGCTCTGATCATTTTGATTATATCGCCTTTTGACTTCATCTATAAACAGTGGCTTGTAACTTGTATACCGAAAATGTACTAAAGTTTTTCCAAGTATTATGAATTATTAATTACTAACAATTTCAATTTCTACATCGAAATTGACTACTAACTCGACATATGCACAGATTTTTTTTAAACATCCACAGTTATAATGCTCTTAACGATTTTTATTATCGAAAAAATGAGTTTTAAATTCTAATACTATTATTGAAAAACAGCATATTGCACATTAGATCGAGCATCTATATGCACGAACTTTTTTCGGCAATTAAAAAAAATTGGAAAATTAATCGAATTGTGAGCTTATAGATATATCCCTATTTGGTGTAGATTAAAATCTACTTAAAAATGGTTAATTAAAGGTCAATGGTTTTTTTGGACTGTCTAAAGGTTCTTAAGTTGAATATTTTTAGAAATGTCTGGATGACAATGTCAAAAATGGAAGGTTAGGGACTCCACCGCAGTTCTTGAAAGTTTCAAGCCCCTGTTGTGTTTGTCGCTGAAAATAATCGACACGATTAAGAAAATAATTGCATGTAGACCCCAGTTGAAATCGAAAGAAATCACTGCATTTCCTTCTCGATTAAGGCTGAATTTCGCATAATAAAATCCGCCAAGTTTTTCAGAATTTTACATTTCATCTCAGTTGATCGCTCGAAATTTTAATTACTGCCATTCTGTAGGCTAGAAAAGCAAAAATGGAGACGCCTTTGCTGTCATCAGGTTTACTTTCCAGTTTCCAATTTCATCTTCTTCGTAAAGTTGCGAACTTTTAGAATTATTTTTTTGGTCATAATTCTTACTTCTTAGGATGTGTAAAAATATTTTGTAACAGAGAAAAGTGACAAAGGAAGTGAAAGGTGGAGCACATACCAACACGTGGGCCGTGCCGGGTCGGCAATTCCAACGGCATTCCCGCCTTTTCCGGCTGGAACTGAAGTGAGCGTCGATGAAATTCGATCCGCCGCCGCTTTTTCTGAACCGTACCCACCTTCTTTACATGCCCCTTTGGTCGGGTCCTCCGAACCACATCTCTTCTTTCCCAATGGTAATTTCGAATATTGTATAAGTTTATATTTTCCCGTAACACTTCTGAATCCCCCACCGTTTGGGCGTGTCTTGTGGAGTTATAAGCACCTTGGTCACCGTCTTATTACGAGCTGGTTCGAAGGATCCTTTCTGAAGGGGAGGGAGCCGAACGTATGTGTTGGGATTCAGAAGTGATCCTTACATTTTTTATTTTTTTTGCATTTCTGAGTAATCAAATGGTGGATCAGGTCTATGTCTCTCTTGGTCATGTAAAACTCTTTCTGATTATGGTTTTTTAAATTGGTAAATGGTAATACTTGATATTCCGCATTGTCAACAGAAATTGGGATTCTGTAGCTGCTTAGTTTATTAGATTTAAGAGTAGTGCTGTTTAGCTGGTGTTTAACACAAGTCTAAGTGTCGGCACTGGCGGCATTAAATTAAAGTTTCAATTAAATAAATCCTCATAATTTCACCTTTAATTGAACCTATCACATAATGGCTAGGGTGCTCTATCAGTTCTAGGTAGCATTATTCTAGATTTCGAGAACAAGAATCTTCATTAAGCTTAAATTTATGTAATATTTTCTAGTTATTGTCCATATGTAGCAGAAATCAGATTTGTGAGAAGAATAGATTTCTAGGACTTCTAAATTTTAACAAATATATATATTTGCTTTTGAAAGTTAGAGTTTAGTTTAGAAGAGGATATATTTTTTAAGACCATCTCTATCAGCCTGAGCTATGAGAATGCGAGATTAAGAGGCGAATTAAGTTAGCAAATGAAGCCTGTATTTCCATTCTTGACTGTGCAAGTTTTAGCTTCTATTCCCACCAAACTATGGAACACTCTGTGATTTTATGTCCCTATTTTTGAATCTTTTTTCTCCATTCCACTTCCTTATTGGTTAACAAACATGTGGCATTTTATTACCTCTGGTAATGCATTTTTCTCGGACAATGAATTAAAGGTATATTGATGCAGCACAAGTGACTGGTCAGGGTGGATGTCATGGACATGTAGGAACAACTTCTGATGTAGGCAGGTAAGTTTTGAACATGCTCCTCACAGGCAGGATTAGTTTCGATTATGTACTTTAATACGATATAATTTACTTATGGATTTGCATATTTCCTGAGTGAAATGAAATTTGTATGGACCTTCGGATCACACCTGAAATTTGGATGGTTAATATTTCTTTCTTGTATCCAATTCAAAATCTAACGTCAAACCACCAATCGTGATATCGATATTTACAGTCTGTTATGGGTCTTTACTTATCCACTCTGAATCATCCTGTTAGTGTTAATCCATTTTTATTCTTATTCTTCTTCGTAGTGTAAGAATGAAAATGCATGCTGTCCATCATGATGGATAGAAAAACTGATAGAAGATAAATATTGGATTTGGAATCGAAGAACACCACGTCTTAAACATCCATGAGGTGGAGTTCATAGTTCGTCCTCAAAAGGCACCTTAATACACTGATACTAGAGATCCAAATACTTCTAGCTGCATGCCATGTGGCTCAGAAAGATTTAGATGCCGAACTATTCAAAAGGAAACTGAAATAGAAGCTCGTAAACCATTAACTTCCAGTTGAATTGGTGATTCCTGTGTGGAAGTCTCTTTATATTAGTGCGTGCGTTCTTTATCATTTGGATTGGCATCTCTCAAAGACATGCTGAAGATCCGTCCTAGAGAGATGCTCAAAAGTCACAAAGAAGTGGATTAGTTCCTGGCTTCCTGCATACGTTCTTAAATGAAATTAAAATATCTTGAAGGTTATAACAAATAAAAAAGGAACAAATAGAAATAATTTAAACTCAATCAGACATGTCCTGTGTATGTTTGATTTTTGCAATTGCATATGGATTAAACTCTCAAAATAGCTTTTAGTTTCATATTAAAATTCATGTTGGGTCTGATGGGTTTGTTTCATAAAATTAAGATTTTTCAATGGATCATGATTCTTTATTACCTATCTCACTGCATTTGATCATTATAATGTGGTAATCCATACAAGTATCAGCACAGGCAAGTATTGGATGAGGTAGAAATCCGAGAACTACTCATAGATCATGTCGGTCATCGTTGTTGTTGGGGAAGTCGTCCTGCTCGGACTTGGAATATACACGCAGTTGAAGATTGCAATGTTTATACAGGAACTCTCGAGACTTTTATTGAAGAAAGGGAAACAATAACAGAAAAGGAACCATACTCTGGTGGCAAAATTGATGGAAAGCATGAGGGGCCTCAACTAGGAATATGGGAATTGGATTTAAGGTCTGAGTTTCCAGTATTATTTATACCTCATAAAGAGTCAAGGACCATGATTCCTCATTCAGAAGCCATTGAGAAATGCTCAGGTACTGGCTGTGAGAACATCAGTCTGGTTTTATAGTTACTTTTTTAATTATTATCACGATCAATTTTGGTAATTTTATTGTTCCTTGTCTGCTCATGTTTATAGGAATTATAACACTGCAGTTTATCTTGTTATTACGTAGTCATGGGGAATTAAGATAAGAACATCGTTAGATTAGAAATAAAGATAGTTTAATTTAGATTAGCTTATTTTAGTTTATTATTGTCTTCTAGTTTGACTAGAATTAGGGTTTTGTTTTATGGACTTTAACTGAAAGTTAGGTTTATATCCCTTATTTCCTTCTTATTTTGAGTTAAATTAGGTTTTATTATCCTTATTTCCTTCTTAAATTAGGTTTGCCTAGACTCTAAATGAAGAGGGTGTATCCATGTAATAGTTACATTTGATTATTGAACAAACTTATATTTTCTCGCTCTATATTCTTTTATTGATTCTCTCCCTTTTTCTCAACTCTCCTTTGTACGTCGCGTTCTATGTCACGTAGGTTGTGTGGAACGTGGAAATTTTGTTTGTCCCACATGCAATAAAGATCAAGATCCTGGAAAGGAGAATCGCATGTCTCCATGTCCTGCTTGTTATGGGAGAGGCTTAATTGCTCATGGAGATGGATCAGATACAACGTGAGTATTTTCTTTCATAATCACGTTTTAACATCATTGGTCTCGTAATTATGCTTCTTGCTTATGGAATATGTGTTTTGCATCTAGCACTCGATTCATTTGAAAATTTTATGTGTTCAGATGTCTCAAATGTAACGGCAAGGGAATGATTCCTTGTGCAACCTGTGGATCGCGCGGGTTAATAAAATGTGAGACATGTCAAGGTGGTGGCTTTCTTCTAACACGCCAAGTGGCTGTCATTAGGTGGTATGTTTATAAACTTTATGAAAATGTACCTTGATTTAAATGCTGCTTCAACCATGCAGATGAAATACAAAATTTTCTGAAAAGAAGAAACAGAGAAAAATTAACGGAATGAGTCAAAGAGAAATGAAGTTATAAATGGGTTCTAAATGTATAGAGCCACATTTCCCTATGTTTCTATAGCATGATGATACTTCTTCATACTTCTGTACATATTTACATAATTTATGCTTGAGAAAATGTCTTAATAAAGAAGTATTATAATTTTAATCCCCAGTGATTGTAAATTCTAATAGGGAATTTTACGTTTCAATCTAACTACTTCTGAGATGTTACATAAGCAGGCGATTATCAAATAACCTTCTCTTGAAGTCTAATGATAATGCTGGTTTAGGAATGATCGGATGCATCTTCTATTTTTTTCCCCTCACTGTTAGACTTCTAGCGTTTTGGCTTTACTTAACGAGTTTAGTTAAAAATAAATAATTTATTTATTGATCAAAATTACAAATTGCTTATTTGCACAGTAAGTTAAGACTTACTTTCAAAGTAACTTTTTGGCTTAAAATAAGAAAAGAGTATCATATACAAACATGCAAACAAAAGTTACTGATGCACAACTTTTTACTTGTATTTAAGCCTAGCCAAGCATGCTTACTTTAATCTGCTTATGTCAATTGTGTTATGGTATTCTGCATCTGCAGGAAGACACTTTCAGCTAGAAAAGTAAGTTCAACAAGTGGAGCAGCTTCAGTTCCAGACGACGTATTCCACCGAGCAAAAGGAGTGCAGTTGTGCAATAACCAGGCCTACCAGTGTACGCCTGCATTTTTTGCCAATTCATACTTCCTCAACAAGTTTTCTTCCGAAGTAATTGCAGAAAGAGCACCTGTACCTCCAACCGCAAGGGTCATTTGCGAGAGACATACAATCTCTGTTGTCCCGGTGACCCGTGTAACCATGACTCATCGCAGTCGCTCCTTCAGTTTCTATCTTATCGGAACTGGGCGTGAGGTTTATTTAAAAGATTCCT